CTCTGCTTTACATCATGTCCTTCTCCAGGAACTGACCCCTCTTTTTTTTTTTAACTGACCCCTCTTGATAACATGGCCAAAGCACATGAGACCCAGTTTCACCAGTGCTCTTCCAGTGAACATTCTGCCTGTACTTCTTCCAAGATAGGTTTGGTCCATCCTTCTGGCAGCCCAGAGTATGTTTTGATTGTTTGTGTTTTGCCAGCACCATAATCAAGGGTATCAATTCCCCTTCAGTCTTCCTTATTCACAGTCCAGCTTCCACATGCATATAAGGCTTTTCAGAAAGACAGTGACCTGAGTCCAATGCACTTCAGTCCTTGACGTTACTTCATTGCTTTTGTACACTTTAAAGGTATTGTTTGCATCAGACTTGCTTAATGCAATACATCATTTGATTTCTTGACTGCTTCTTCCATAGATGTTGACTGTGGATCCAAGTAAAAGAAAATCCTTGGCAACTTCAAGAGTTCCCCCTGTCCCATTTATCATGACCCTGCTTATTGGTCCAGTTGTGAGAATTCTTGTTTTGTTTGTATTGAGATGAAACCCATACTGAAAGCTGTAGTCTTTCTTTGATCTTTAACAAGTACCTTAGGTTTATCCGCTTTCAGCAAGCAAGGTTGTGTCATCTGCATCGTGCAGGTTGTTGTTGAGGCTCTATGCATTCTTTTCATTCTTCTTCATAGATTCAGTTTCTTGGATTGCTTCCTCAGCATGCTGACTGAATAAATATGATAAAAGGTGATCCTGACGCACACCTTTCCTGATTATAGCCATGCATATCTCCTTGTGCTTCTTAGTCTGTGTATACAAACACAATTGCGGTGTTAATGGAATTCCCAGTTTTCAAAGTATTAGCCATCATTCGTTATGATCCACAAAGCCTTTGCATAAGACAGATGGGCATCTCTCTGGCATTTTTTGCTTATAGTCAAGCTCATCAGCAATGATACCTCTCATTCCATGTCCTCTTTTGATTCTGGCTTGAATTCCTGGCCTTTCTCTATCAATGTACAAAGTTCATTTAAAAATTCTCTTCAGTAAGATTTTACTTGCCTGTGCTATTATTTAATCTTTTTTTTTCCATTCTATTGGCTTATCTTTTCTTTAGAATGGACATAAATATGGATCTTTTCAGTTAATTGGCTGGGTAACTGTTGTCTAAATTTTGTAGTGTAGGCAATTGAGCACTACCAACACTGCATCCACTTGTTAAAATATTTTAATTAAGAGTCTGTCTTAAAAGGGCCGAACTCGCTCAGCATATCTTAAGCTCAAGGAACTGAAGAACAAATTCAAACCTCGAGTTGCTATAATCAAGGATGCTTTC